TCTCTCTCTCTCTCTCTCTCTCTCTCTCTCTCTCTCTCTCTCTCTCTCTCTCTCTCTCTCTCTTCGGCTTGTCTCGCTGGGATCTCCGTATTTCCGGGCCACCTGTGTTGTTAACAGCTGTTGAGAGTCGTCTTGCCTCTCTGTCCCGCGTCTAGCAGCATGCTGTAAACAAAGATCGCCAGCGGCAGCCGAAATCGGAACGATAACACGTTCTTGTATACGAGAGTTAAAGTACCGTTTCACATACCATTTAAACGGCGACTCTCCTTGATGCTGATGACGTTTCTCCTTTCTTCTGGTTCCCTCGGTGTCCTGTGGTCCCAGCCCTTCGGCGTCGGCGAGGAGAGTTGGGGGCACATTATTGTAGGGCGCGATGACCATCCCACTAGCGGGACCGCATACGCTTCGCTAATTACCCCCCTCTACGCTCGACCGGTGTGACCGCGGAAAACTGTTGCTTTGAGTCGCCAAAAATTATTCGGGAACCGCTATGCACCCTCTTTCCCTTTCTCCGATATGTGCGAAATCACACGAACGGTGCTCGTTTACCCTTGTGACGGGCGCCCTATGGCTGCCACGTCACAGGCTATTGTAAACCTCCGCTGTTTCAATCCTCCTAGATATTTTATTTATTTTTTAATCAAATAAGGAAGTTTGGGACAGCGGAGGTGTAGGACAGTCGCAGCAGAGAAACCTCTGTTATCCCAAATCTACTTGTTATTTGATTTATTTAAAAATCTATTGATTCATTTTTAGGTTTAGGATAGCCACAGCATACGTGCAAGTACAAGTTGTTCATATGACACTTTTCCTAATTTTTATAGTGATAAACTTTGTATGATAACATTTCGCTTCGCTGAGCCGATACTTTTTGTGCCAAAAATCTTATTCTACGTGTAAAAACGCGTCGATTGAGTATACTTTTATCGATATTGAAGATAAGGAGTGTTTAACTCAATAATTACTTAAACTGATTATCGTTACGTTAGTGTATGATAGTATACAATATTTTGTTGTACAAAACAGATATTAATTGCAAAACTATTTGCAACGGATCCCAGCACACGTAATGTCGAAAATCATAACTTATCCTATCTGAACCTAATATAACCCATTTTCTTGTTTCACAAAATTTTCCGCTTTTATGCGAGATGTATATAATAAAGAAAGTATTAGGTTTTATATTTTTATCTTTCCTATAGCAGGTATGGGCTAAATCCTCTTATTCTCGTAACACTAATCACAAATTGGTCCAGTATAATTCAGTGCAATAATAGTTAAAGTCGGAATGATCGAACAACCGAAAACTTGTCACGTGTTATACATTACGTGACTCAATATCCAATCACGAGCATTTCTAATGGATTCAGCAATGAGATATTCTTTTCGGTGCGTCCGAATATCGGATTGGATATTGAGTTATTAGGACCTTAACTTAGTTTCCGCCCAAAAAATACTGAGAAAAAGCATTTATTGTAAAAAATTTATTTAAATTATTTCAATGAAAGTATTTTCCATCACTTTCTACAACTTTTTGCCATCTTTCTGGCAACTGGGCGATACCATCTCGATAAAACGATGTTTGTTTCGAAGCAATCCATTCGTCCACCCATTCTCGCACTTCTTCAACATTTCGGAAGCGTGTACCACTCAAGCCGTGCTGCATCGATCTGAACAAGTGGTAATCAGAAGGCGCTATGTCTGGTGAGTACGCTGGGTGAGGAAGAGTTTCCCATTCGAGCTGCGTCAGTGTTTCTTTGACGGTTTTTCCAGTGTGTGGCCGAGCGTTATCGTGTAAGAGAATAACTTTGCGCCTGTTACTCGCTATTGCTGGTCTTTTTCGCAACAGCTCATCATTCAATTTGTTCAATTGACATTTGTAGACATCGGCAGTAACAGTTTCGTTTGGTTTCAGCAGTTCGTAGTACAGCACTCCTTGCTGATCCCACCAAATGCAAAGCATTACCTTATGACCGTGGATGTTCCGTTTTGGCTGCGATGTTGATGGTTGTCCTGGGTCTACCCATGATTTTTTGCGTTTGGGATTGTCGTAGTAGATCCACTTTTCATCGCCAGTCACAATACGCCACAGAAAACTCTTCTTTTTTTGCCTGGCAAGCAACGAAACCGTGATATTGAAACGGTTGTGAATGGCACTTTCAGACAATTCATGTGGTACCCATCTTCCTTCCTTTTGGATCTTTCCCATGGCGTGTAAACGTTTGGAAACAGCTGCTTCAGTAACTCCTAGCTCGTTTCCAAGTTCTTGTAACGTTCGAGCCGAGTTTTCATGCAATAATGCTAGCAATTCATCGTCTTGGAATTTTTTTGGCTGTCCTGAGCGTGGTTTGTCATTGACATCAAAATCATTACTTTTGAATCGTCTATACCACTCTTTACATGTTGTATGTGATGGAGCTCGATCACCATAACCTTCTTCAAGTAATCGATGAACTTCTGCTACACTTTTTTTCAAATCAAAATAGTGCAAAAGCACATGTCGAAAAAACACTTTATCGCGTTCCATTTTTCACAAAGCAAAAGAAATTGTTGTTTAGGAAAATAATTGTGTATGCTGACTGAATGTTATCGAGAAATGTCGAAATTAATCACAAACTACCTGTTTCGTTAGTAATGACTACTAGAACTGTTTGCATTGCTATCTAACATTTGCGGGCGGAAACTAAGTTAAGGTCCTAATACGTAATGTAACATATATGTTTTAACTTATTGCACCAGTACAGTAGTGCAACGAAAAAGAACAGGCCTACGTTTTCGGTCAATCCGAGTTCAACCGTTTGCATTCCGAATGCAACTGTTCTTGCAATGAGCTATACTCGACGAATTTGTAAGTTTTGCTTCAAGGATACTACATTTGGCCTGGAGTTGCAACTACAAAGTTACGTAAATATGAAACCACATTTAAAATTATCTACCTCGCGTAAATCTTTGCATAAATTATCTATGAGACAGCGAAATAGGGTTATGACAGAAATAAGACATGTATTGCGCATACAAAAATGTCCTGTAAAATGCACATGTAACGTTATACATGTAGAATGTAATAAGTCTGCGTTGCAAGATATTCCTGCTTCATCTGTTGCAGAATGTTGTTATTCCAATAACTGTAATATCGTTAACGAAAATATCGTCAGTACAAGTGTAAACGTTGAAGATGATACAGCATCGTGTTCCTCTTCCACTTCTTCTTGTGCATTCTCTTCAGTTTCTACTACTTTGTTAGAGCCATCCTTTAGTGAAAATTTAGCCTCTTGCTTTATTGACTGTAATTTAACGCATTGCCAAGGTAATAGTGTATTGTCTGTTCTAAAAACACATACGTGCTTCTCTAATTTGCCAAAAGATGTTAGAACTCTTTTAAACACACCAAGGCATCGTGTTGTATATGATATCGAACCAGGACAATATTTACATTTTAACGTGGAAGTAGCAATTGTTAAAAATCTCTCTAACGCTTTATTTGTATCTCTTATTAGAGAATTAGAACTCGATTTCAGTACTGATGGATGTTTATTAGATAAATCAGGTACTATTCAAATTTGGCCAATTCAATGCAGAATATCAAATGTGAAAGATATAAAACCAATAGTTGTAGGAATTTATAAAGGTGCACAAAAATCTAATAATGCTAATGTTTTCTTTCAAAAATTCATTACCGATGTAAAATCAATTCTATCCAATGGAGGTGTTAATTTTCGTGGCAATTTAATACCAGTGAGATTAAGGTCGTTTATAGCTGATGCACCTGCTCGTGCTTTTATTTTAAATCACCGTCTCATGTCTCAACACCCATGTTCCAAGTGCAAAGTACGAGGCACACTAATAATGGTCATTATGTATTCAATGGTGTGAATCATTTTTTTCGTACCGATGAACAATACAGATTGCATTGTGATGACAATCATCACAAAGAGAGTACAAGCCCATTATCTATGTTACCAATGGGAATGGTTTCACAAGTCCCGTTTGAATATATGCATCTAGTATGCTTAGGTATTGTAAAAAAGCTATTGTCTGCCTGGGTACATGGCAAATATTCACGGATATCGAAGCTATCGGGAATATCGATTTCAGGAATTAGTGCTTGTTTAAGTATGTTAAAACAATATTGTCCTACAGAATTTTTAAGACACCCTAGATCTTTAGATGTATATTCCAAGTACAAAGCAACAGAATTTCGCCAGTTTCTTTTGTACACAGGACCAGTTGTAATGTATGGTATCTTAAATAGTAAATTGTATAAACACTTCTTGTTCCTACACGGCGCTATAAGAGTTTTGCTTTTAAAGTGTCCGTCGGAGAAGTACTTGAGGTTCGCAGAACTTGCATTGCAAAAATTTGTATTGCGTTGTAATACTCTTTATGGTTTAAATTTCAATAGTTATAATGTTCACGGTCTACTTCATTTTACTAATGACGTTAGACATCTTGGAAATTTAGAATCATTCTCTGCTTTTCCGTATGAAAATAATGTCTATTTTTAGAAAATATTGCAGAAAACCGGGTCTATCTTTGCAACAATTTTTTAATCGAATGGCAGAAATACGACATCACGGACGAGACGGTAACCGCAATATCGATCTGTCCACTCGTGTATCAATGCCATGTAATAACAGCCAAAATAGCATTCATTATTGTAAAATTCAATTTAATAATATATGCCTATGTACTAATTTTCGAGACAATTGCTGTATTTTGCGAGATGGATCGATTTGTATTGTTTCGGATATAATTGCGGACAAAGATTGTTATCGTATAGCTGTACAACGATTTTTAGAGGTAGAAAATTTTTATAAAATGAGCATGTCATCATCAGCGTTTCAAGTCTATAAATGTAGCAACATCAGCAGCGATATTCATTTTATTGCGTTAAAAGAAGTTAGTGCGAAAGGATATAGAATGTTTTTGGACGAAAAAGCATCGTTGGACGACAGCGACAGTATTGGAGATGACGAAATGGAACCATCGAAATATATTGTCGCCGCATTAATACATATGGAATGGAGGTAAGTTGTACAACATATATATTCTCTTTACTCGTATGGGATGTTATAAGATTTACAATTAACATAAAATATATCATATCATAAACTTCATATTTTATTAATGTTGTTTACGTTGTCATATTTACAGATACATGGATCAGCGAGCACGTGTCATTAATATCCATTGCGTTAACAGTCTTCGATTGAGGACCCAACGCGGAAGAGAAACACAGCATCAGCTACCATCGTATCTGGGATGATCGATAATGACATCGACGATATCGCAAGGACATTGCAGCAGGATGAGAATACTACATCTTATAATATTGAGACACACATGACACATATAGATACACAAAATATACATTCATACACAAAACATGCATACACATACAAACATTTCACCCTTCACAAATTACGCAACACATGCACAGACACACAAATACTGAATACACCCCACACATACAGACACACACAAACACATTCACGCACACTTCACCAATAGTGCTCCAAGAGCAAAGACGAAATGCACAAAATTTTGCATATGGCACAGAGTGTGGGAAAATATTTTATACTAACGAAAATTTGCCCCAGTCAGATGTTACAGGTACTGCATACATACAGCAGAATCTACGCAGGATCTATTTAAGATGTACCAGCAACGTAGACAAAAGACGTAGACGAGGACATGCTGTTTATCGTCCAGAAGATATTCCACTACACAATATAGATAAAAGGTACGCGCCTCGTTATATGTAGCGAGTATACTTAAGTTCGATAAATGTTAACAAAATACATGATTATTTGTGTCAATAATAATATGCGTTGAAATTTGTCGGTAATTATACAATATAGGAATTGAAACTCATATGATCTTTAGATTTGAGGCTTTCACGGCCATTGATACAATGACTAGGTATAGCTTCCGGAATGGAGCCGTGTCTTGAATTAGCGATATGCCGACGTTTCGCAAATGTTGCAGTTTGCATCATCAGGGCTGAGAACTTTGATACTGAGCTCCCTTGGGTAAAGGTAGTCCTTATATGCCCCCCTCCCCCCCTTTGTGTAGATGATGTTTAGGGAGTAGGGGACGAGGCTTGAATCCAGCCAATCAGCGTATTTTTAATTGATCAGCTGGTCAATTAAACAGATTTTTGATTAAACAGAACTCAACAGATTTCGTGAATAAGATCACAAAAATCAAGATAAATATTAATGATATCCTGGTGAGTTTTGATGTAGTCTCACTGTTTACCAATGTTCCAGTCCAGGATACTTTGAACATCATCAAGAATTCCGAGGAAATTCCTGCCAACCTCTTCCCACTAATAGAACACTTCTTAACTTCAACCTATTTTCAGTTCCAAGGAGAGTTTTTCGAACAAACCTCTGGAGCGGCGATGGAATCTCCTATATCTCCTATCATTGCAAACATCTTTATGGAACACTTTGAGAATAAAGTTTTGAGGAACGCACCACTGATACCATCTACATGGTTTCGGTATGTGGACGATACTTTTGTAATTTGGAATCATGGCAGGGAAACTCTTTCTCGTTTTCTCGGGTTTCTCAATTCACAACATCCCAGTATTCAGTTCACAATGGTGAAAC